AAATTTGGAGGGAATATTATTTATTTTATTTCATTTTATTTATTACTTTCGTTTATTATTTGTTTATTTATTTTTATTCTGCTTCAGGAGCAAACTCGGCACTCTTTCAACACGAGTTGGTTTCTCTGTAGCGTTTTGTTCGTATCCCAACCCGCAATTGAAGTCGCGTGAGGAGATCGAGGTTTCATGAGCAACAGCTCCTTTGGGAGGTTGCTGGCATTTTGGTTTAAATTACTCCGGACTCCGTATTCGAACAGGGATCGAAGGTGGAAAACTGCTCCACAAGCGATGAAATGGCTAGTATGAACAAGGCATGGCGTAGACGGGACATTCTCGCTTGCATCTCTCTTAAATATATTCTGTATATACATCTGTATATATCTTGGTTTCTCACTCCGTACAATGGAACTATCGTTCTTCATTCTTTCTGTAGTTACTCGGTCTTCTGAGAGCCAGGCAGAAGGCATTCTAGGGGGGGGGGGGTGACGCGGCTTTGAGATGAAAGGACGATCTGTTCAAATCATGTCCTGGACATGTCCTGTTATGCGCTGGTTCACGCTCTGTGGCACCTCGCTGCAGAAATAAAGTACGCAGGAATGCCGATAAACATATTTTAGGGGTATTCTTGATCAGCCCTTCAAGGGCCCAGTCTGCTGTCAAAATCAAAGCCTGTAAATATCATCGGAGGGCAAGCATTCACAATCAATTCCCGTAGCAGCTCAGCCCAGCTCGTGGGTGTGGGTTCATTGTTTCGTTTCCCCCGATCGCGTGTTCTTCTGGGTTTGGTTTTCAGCTTCGTTTTGAAATGATATCTGGCCATTTGGATGGTGTTGTAGCCCGCTTTTCCACTCCTTCGATCATGGGCAACCGCTTCCAGCTAAGCGAGCGCGGCTTATGCTGGAACCGAAAACAATAAATTCCCGGCCTTATTCTGGATTTGACAAAGTTATGCCATAAGCGGCTCCCGCATTCGGTGTCTCTCCCAAAAATACACCAGGTTATCAGATTCCTTGGCACAGAGTCATCCCTGTTGCCAAGAATCCTTCCCGAGAAGGGGATTCCCTTCCCTTCCGCTGCTCTGGGTCTTCCCGAAGCTTCGAGAACTCCCACTTCCGAAACTCCCACTTCCAAACCACCAAACGCTTCTGCCTGTCGAAATAGGTGGCGTGACTTTTACCGGAGACGGCGGTCGATATATGCCACTTTCTTGCAGGCACCACCGGGATGACGAGCCATGCGCTGTGCCTGCCTCAAAGAGGTGTCGCGATCAGGCTGCCATCTGGTTGAGGCGCGAAAAAATGCAGATCCACATGGACGCACAGTCATCGGGCTTGAGGTTGCAAAAAAAAAAAAAAAAAAAAAAAAAAAAAAAACCCTTCTCAGGGATTATTGGTCTGTGACCACGATAGACGAGGCGATCGAAAGCCCATGTGTTTTTGCCACCGCCTTTGACATCGATCTCCCAGTTGTTTCTAGCTTAGGTTTCATTAGCTAGCTAGTTCACTAACTACTCCGTACCCCAATTCTTCCTTACCTAAATAATTAGAAAAAAAACACCCCTCAAAATAAAAAAAAAAAAAAAACACCCTCCTCAAGTTGTAAATCCATGATTCAATCCTTTTCGGTCGGGCCGCCCGATGGTCTGATTGATACCCGGCTCGTTGCGAGCTCGTCCCATGTTTCACGAGGTTTTCAACCATGCCCTAGCGTATTTCCAATAATACGCAGAATTATTTTCATGTTTTTCAGGATATTATGACTCTTTGGCTATGAAAAACGTGGTATTCAAAACTTTAGCTCCGACTCGTGGGACCTCTAATCCTAGGCCGTCAGCTCCAGCTAGTCAAACACATCAGTGGTGTCCAGAGCGAGAGCACGGAAGGCATGAGCAGTAAACCGAGCACGCAGGGGTGGTACATGAGGGAAATTTCACATATATTTTTTGTTCTCCCGGTGAGGTCCCAAGAGGCAACAAACCGGCATCGCGAACGTGGACCGGATCTGGGAACGCTGGGCAACTAGTGGTTACCAACCGGGACCGTCTTTTACCGCCATCCGATCAGACCCACCTGCCAAATGACTCCCCCAATGGGCGAAGTGAATATTTACTTCGTATCATCTCAATTCTTCCTAAAATATATATTCATCCGTTTCTGTTCTCCCGTCTTTCGTTAAAATTTCCTTCTCTGTCTTTGTTTGCCTTATCTATTTTTACATAGATTCCCGGTGGTCTTTCCTGCCTTTCCTTTCTTGGAGCTTTCCCCTCCTCGTCCCATTTCGACTGCTAAAGAGAAGTCGACTTCGCCCATAATCTGCCCCACTGGGTAGCCAGACGAAGTCTCGGTAGGCCCCGGTCTAGCCTCGGCTGCCCATCACCCCAAAGAGTATCAAATCATATCACGCAACATACCAGTTGACATACCCAGCGAAAATGGCGAAGCAGGGTCGCAACGATAGTATTTGTAGTGAAGACACCGCGCGAGACATGGATACATCCAAGGTAGAGGATGATATCAAAAGCCTTGCGAAGGAACTAACCCGGCAGTCTACCCACATCTCAACTCTGGAACCTCACAACCCATTTATTGACCCAGAGAAAAACGCCATCCTCGATCCCAATAGCGTGGATTTCAATGCGAAGGCATGGATGAAGAATTTGCTGGCATTGCAGTCACGAGATCCCGAACGATATCCCCGACGCACCGCTGGGTTTGCGTTTAGAAATCTAAACGTACACGGATTTGGAAAACCCACTGACTATCAAAAGGATGTGGCCAACGCTCCCTTGGAAATCGGGAACCTTTTCCGTGCCATAACAGGGTCGGGGAAGCATCGAATCCAGATTCTTCGTGATTTTTCTGGTATCGTGAACGATGGAGAGATGCTTGTTGTTTTAGGCAGACCTGGAAGGTAAATAGTGTTCTATGTATATTGCCATATTGTGCACAGAGAAGTTAATGGGATGACAGTGGATGTTCGACCCTTTTGAAAACGATTGCGGGTGAGATGAATGGTATATATCTGGGGGATGATTCATATATCAACTATCAAGGTATACATGAGATTCAACGTGTGAACCCGTTTGAGCTTGCGTTCTCATAGTGCTTTCACCGCCATAGGCATCCCGATCAAGCAAATGCACAAGCAGTTCCGTGGCGAGGCCATCTATACAGCAGAGACAGACGTTCATTTCCCCCAATTGACTGTTGGGGAGACCTTGGAGTTTGCTGCTCGTGCAAGAGCTCCGGCGAACCGAATTCCTGGAGTTACGCGCGACCGACATGCTATTCACATGCGAGATGTCGTCATGGCCTCGTTTGGTCTCAGCCATACAATTAATACCAATGTCGGAAACGATTTGGTTCGGGGTATCAGTGGAGGAGAGCGCAAACGCGTGAGCATTGCGGAGGCATGCCTAAGCCAGGCACCGTTGCAATGCTGGGATAACAGCACTCGTGGACTAGATTCTGCAAACGCTTTGGAATTTTGCCGGACTCTGCGTCTGTCTACGGACTACATGGGAGCCACTGTCTGTGTTGCAATCTACCAAGCTTCCCAAAAGGCTTATGATGTATGATTGTGTCTATTCCTATAATTCGGCTGTCAACCTTTTTGTCTTTGCTTGGATTAATGATCATATAGTACTTCGACAAAGTTACCGTTCTTTACGAGGGACGTCAAATATATTTTGGCCGAACTGATGAAGCGAGGCAATTCTTCGTGGATATGGGCTTTGAATGCCCTGAGAGACAAACAACCGCGGATTTCTTAACTTCCTTGACCAGCCCCGTCGAACATATCATCAGACCGGGCTTCGAAGGGAAAACCCCCAGAACACCTAGCGAGTTTGAAACAGCCTGGAAAAACAGTGCAGCATATGCCAAACTCCTGCAGGATATCGAAGAATATGAAACCCGATATCCAATTGGAGGACCATCTGTGGAAAAGTTTATCGAGTCCCGGAAAGCTCAGCAAGCAAGATCTCAGTAAGTTTTATCTTTTAACCTCTAGGATACAATCAATCCCTAACTCTCCTATGTAGACGAGTGAAATCTCCTTATACCCTCTCTGTCAGCCAACAGATCGGCCTCTGCGTGCGCCGTGGTTTCCAACGGTTACGCCGTGACATGTCATTGACTCTATCTGGCTTGCTTGGTAATTTCTTCATGTCCTTAATTCTTGGGAGTGTCTTCTACAACCTTAACCAGACAACGGAGAGTTTCTATCGTCGTGGCGCGCTACTATTCTTTGCTATATTGATGAGCGCTTTCGCTTCTTCGCTTGAGGTATGTCCTTGATGATGACCTCTTCTTATTTTGTTCCGTTTGAAGTCTGAGCTAACTAATTGCTTGTCAGATTCTAACCTTGTACGCGCAACGCCCTATTGTCGAAAAACATTCCAGATATGCTCTCTATCATCCCTTTACAGAAGCCATATCCTCCATGCTCTGTGACCTGCCGTACAAATTTCTCAACTCTATTACGTTCAATCTGCCCATCTATTTCTTGTCCAATCTTCGCCGAGAGCCCAGCGTTTATTTTGTGTTCTGGCTTTTTACATTCGTCACAACCTTGGCCATGTCTATGATATTCCGCACTATCGCTGCTACGTCCCGAACGCTCGCTCAGGCATTGGCGCCAGCCGCTGTCCTCATACTTGGCCTTGTTATCTACACCGGCTTCGCCATTCCTACTCGTAACATGTTGGGCTGGGCTCGGTGGATAAACTATATTGACCCCGTTGCGTATGCCTTTGAAGCGCTCATGGTCAATGAATTCCATAATAGACAGTTTGAGTGTGCTGGATTTATTCCCTCGGGCGGAGAGTATGATAGTTATCCTCTTGAAAATAAAGTCTGCGGGACAGTTGGATCCATTGCTGGCTCAAGCCGAGTTGATGGCGACCTCTATCTCCGTCTAAGCTTTCAGTATGAATACAGCCACATCTGGAGGTTAGTTGCTATCTACTTTCGTTTTACTCTCTGTTCACCCACAAGTTAACATGAAATCAGGAATCTGGGGATCATTTTCGGGATTACGATTTTCTTCATGTTCACGTACTTGTTTTCAACCGAATATATCTCCGAGGCCAAATCCAAGGGTGAAGTCCTACTCTTTCGTAAGGGCCATAAATCGAAAAAGGCGAAGAACTCCGATATCGAAGCGTCCACGCCAACAACTTCTGGAGAAAAATCGTCAGGATCAAGCTCCCAGGGGGTTTCAGCCTCGATCCAAAAGCAGACGGCTATCTTTCAATGGAAGGATGTTTGTTATGATATTAAGATTAAAAAGGAAGAAAGACGTATTCTTGACCACGTCGACGGCTGGGTTAAGCCTGGGACATGCACTGCACTCATGGTAAATATTTCCTCTTTTGGTCTTTCTTATTATTAGAATACACTAACATTTCCTTAGGGTGTTTCTGGCGCCGGTAAAACAACGCTGCTTGATGTCCTCGCCACCCGTGTCACTATGGGTGTTGTCAGTGGTGAGATGCTCGTCGATGGTCAGCCCCGGGATGGGTCGTTCCAGCGTAAAACTGGCTATATCATGCAACAGGATCTCCATGCCGCGACGTCAACTGTGCGAGAGGCGTTGAATTTCAGCGCATTACTGAGACAGCCGGCTAGCGTTCCACGCGCAGAAAAGCTCGCCTATGTGGACGAAGTGATCAAATTACTTGAGATGGAGGACTACGCTGATGCCATTGTCGGCGTTCCTGGAGAAGGTATGAGTAAAACTCGTCCATCCGGAGCGTCAAAGGAATATACACTAATATGCGTAATCTATCTAGGCCTGAACGTCGAGCAACGCAAACGACTAACTATTGGAGTTGAACTTGCGGCAAAACCACAACTTCTTTTGTTCCTTGATGAACCAACCTCGGGACTTGACAGTCAAACTTCCTGGTCTATCTTGAATCTCCTTGACACGCTTACCGAACATGGCCAAGCAATTCTTTGCACAATCCATCAACCGTCCGCTATGCTTTTCCAACGTTTTGATCGCCTCCTCTTCCTTGCCAGCGGTGGAAAGACAGTATATTTTGGTGACGTTGGCGAGCGCTCTTCGATCTTGTCGAGCTATTTTGAAAGGAATGGTGCTTCTCCCTGCCCACCAGATGCCAACCCTGCCGAATGGATGTTGGAAGTCATCGGCGCTGCCCCAGGGTCTAAGAGTGACATCGATTGGCCTGAGGTATGGCGTAATAGTCCTGAGCGAAAGACAGTACATGCACACCTCGATGAGCTCAAATCCACCCTCTCTGAAAAAGGAAAAACTGAACTAGCCAATCGCAGCCCGGAAGATTATCGTGAATTCGCTGCGCCTTTCAGTGTCCAGGTCTGGGAGTGTTTAATACGAGTTTTCTCACAGTACTGGCGCTCGCCAGTATATATATACTCAAAAACCGCCTTGTGTAGCCTCTCTGCCCTCTTCATTGGCTTCTCTTTTTTCAATGCACAAACCAGTCTACAAGGCCTCCAAAACCAGATGTTTGCTGTTTTCATGTTGACGACCATCTTTGGCAACTTGACCCAACAAATTATGCCTAATTTTGTTGCTGCACGTGCACTCTACGAGGCTCGCGAGCGCCCGTCCAAATCATACTCATGGAAAGCATTCATGATAGCTAACATATTCGTCGAGCTTCCATGGAACACGCTCATGGCTGTCATCGTTTTCGCCTGCTGGTACTATCCCATCGGACTATACAATGCCATCCCCAGTGACCAAATCCATGAACGCGGTGGTCTCATGTTCTTGCTAGTTCTCACCTTCCTTCTCTTCGCGTCCACATTCTCCCACTTCGTCATCGCAGGTGTTGAGGTCGCCGAGACTGGTGCCAACCTTGCCAACCTCCTCTTCATGCTCTGTCTGGTCTTCTGCGGTGTTCTCGCAACCCAAGAAGCCCTCCCGGGTTTCTGGGTTTTCCTTTACCGTGTTTCGCCCTTCACTTATCTTGTCTCCGCCATGCTTTCCACAGGCCTCGCGGGCGCTGACATTGTCTGCGAACCGGTCGAGTTCCTCCATTTCAATCCGATCGCTAACCAGACCTGCGAACAATACCTGGCAGCATTCAGGGAATCATACCCTCCCAAAGGATACCTGGAGAATCCCCTGGCAACCTCAGACTGTGGCTTCTGTGCCATGCAAAAGACTGATACCTTCCTTGCGAGTATTGGTAGCCATTACTATGACGCATGGCGGAATTTTGGTTTTATGTGGGTGTATATTGTGTTTAATATTGTCGGGGCTGTGTTCATTTATTGGCTCACACGTGTCCCTAAAGGGGCGAAGGCAAAGGGACCCACCACCTCATGAGTTTGATTTTATATCCTATTCATCACAGTCTCTCTCTCTGTACCTTGCGTTTTTTTTTTTTTTCCTTTTCATTTTCCATTGGTTTCCTCTTTCCATTTTTGTTTATCATCCATTTGAACGAAAAATCATCTTCGAAACGCGCAACAACAATAGTTGCTCTCGGAAGTGATTGTGAAACTTAGATATCCCACAATAGACTGCATAATATAGAGCCAGCCCTTTTTGAAGGTGGCAAGAGGCTAATCAATAATGATCTGCATCTAACGTTACAACTTCCCTCAAAAAATTCCTTTTTCGTTTGATTAATTGAAATCGACCCTTTTGATATCTATTTCACGGTTAGTCGCAACTCACAGGACCTGGAATCTATCGGGCCCCGAGCCAATCGCCAAACAGGAAATAGGCACTCCGGATTTCTTTCTTTTTCTAACCAGATCACATCTGCACCGGAGGAAGCAGGGGGGTGGATGGGCGTAGTAGTAAGTGCTGTTCATGGAACGCTTTTCTCAAGTAGGCCGTTGGTGTTGGGGCCACCACTGCTGAGACACGAAGTGGATTTGAATCCCACCCTCTCCAAAAGGATATTATCACATCTTGGTGGATATTGGGGGTACCCTTTCTTATCTCATTTCTATTGATAGTTAACTGCCACAGTGGGGTGGAGCAGTGTTCAACACTATGTATGTAGTCTTGATGGATTCAGTGTAGTGTGGGAATCTAAGATGTTGTGATCCTTACACAGAGAAGTTTCTCGTCGCGATTAGAGAAATGTAACCATAAGTAGAGAAATACAATCATAAGGGTAGGCTAGTCTCTGATTGCATATGCTGTATAGCCTTAGGAAAGATATGAAGAACAACAACAACAACAACAACAGGAGGAAGCAGTTCATCAAATGATAGTGGTGGCTGGTTACTCCCCAGGGCTTAGGGTTGATCATCGTTGTCTTAGTAATCCATGTGGAGGCGCTATAACTAAATAAATCAACCAATAGGAAGCTTGAAACATCCAGATATCTTCAAAACTCCACGCTTCATCACCCTGATCCGGTTGTATCATTGCTCTTTCGTTGCTGCTACTGAATTTCCCAGGCGTATGCAGCGTTGATATAAACGATTCTTTCTCCTATCTGGCCTGCCTTGCTCGTCTCGTTCCTTTATTCGTGGTTCGCCCTGTTAAATGTTCCACGAATGGGGTGGAGCAAAACCAAACAACCACCTCGCCATCGAACCACCCTTGTTTGGTTTTCCCTCCGGGACATCGCAAACAAACACCAAATAAATAGCTAGGACGACGCCCTATTCCAGAGGCATTCTTAACATTAACGGCGCCACGGCGTCCTCTCCCGCGCTTGGTCTCGACCTACTCGCAGCCGTCCCATGCTATGCGGCAAGCAGCATCATGGGTTGGCACGCCCTCCATAAAGGGCCGGACTGAAGCCACGCGAATGGCATTGTTGACTTTCAGTCTCGTTGGACTCCAGTGTGTTTTAAAGACTTCCCTTCCTTCTATCCTATTCCATTGGGCGATGCTACCCCACCGATTTGCCTCTCATCTTCCCGATTGTCCTTCTGGGAGGATTACATATTGATGGAACTTGTAATTGCTGACTGTTATGATGCGTGTAGATTTACTTGGGGCGTTGAAATGACATGTAAATTGAAACCCCTGCACCATTTTTTTTTAGCCGTTTCTCTGCTTCAGGCCTTTCCCACCCCATTTCCTGGCATATTCAAATCCACTTATCCCTAGCTAGCGATTCTTCTATGTATCTGCGAAAAGTGCCAATCTTAAACTAACCCACCCTGGGAAACTGCAGATTGTACGCCGTATCTTCTCCAACTCGGCCTTACGAAATCAAAAACCTCACTAGTATGGATCGCTAGCCCGTTGTCGGGATTGATAATACAGCCTCTGGTCGGGATAATCACGGACCGATCTACGTCAAAATGGGGCCGTCGTCGTCCGTTCATGATAGTTGGCTCTTTCGTTGTTGGGCTATGTTTGTTGGTTTTGGGCTGGGCATCGGAACTCGTGGCTATATTCATCTCTGACAAGGATACGGTATGTGCGGGCTCCCTATGATTGTGTAATTTGTAAAAGTTTGATGGCCGAATCGGATGTGGTTTATAAACGAGATCATTGGCTTTAACTAGTGAAAGCCGCTGTTGGGGGGAAGAATGAAAAGGGATTGGCCTTGTAAAATGCACTGTATTCTAACCTGGAGCAGAGGAAAAGTGTTGCGATTGCAGTCGCGGTATTCAGCATATATGCTGTCGATTTTGCGATTAATATCGGTACGTCTCTGCGACACCTCTCCTTATTTATCTATTCCTCATTCCCTCAGACGGAGTTCCATTTATGATGGTGGTTGGCTTACATTTATGTGGTTCAGTTCAAGCATCTTGTCGTAGCTTGATAGTTGACACCCTACCAATTCCTCAGCAGCAGCTTGGGTCAGCATGGGCAAGCCGGATGGCCGCTATTGGCCACCTTATAGGCTATGGAATCGGTTCAGTCGATATGCTGAGCATATTCGGTCATGCCTTGGGCAACACACAGTTTAAGCAGATGACTGTAATTTCTGCCATTTCTTTAATTTTCTCCGTCTCTGTTACATCATATACGGTGAAAGAGAGGGTGTTGATTTCACTCAGGTATTTAAAATACCTTTTTATCCCACGGTTCCTTGAATTTGACTAAATATGAGCCGTCTCAATGGGTTTAGAGATTCGGATAAGAAGACAAGCGTAGTCAAAATACTCGCCCAGTTGTTCAGAACAACGGTCAGCCTGCCACCACGGATACGTGCTATTTGCTGGGCCCAATTCTGGGCGTGGGTCGGTAGGTCGTCAATTCCCAGGACTCTGATAATGCTTTCTGTAACTAATTTGTGAATGATAGGTTGGTTTCCGTTTCTCTTCTACAGCAGCACATGGGTAGGCGAGACTTATTTCCGCTACGAGGCACCCAAAGAAGCTTCCGACAAATCGCCAGATACGTTAGGAGACGTTGGTCGCCTTGGAAGCATGTCTCTTGTGATATTTTCCTTGGTCACATTCATCAGTTCTGTTATTCTCCCCTTTGGTGTCATCTCCCCGGATACCAAACAACCCTCCATCCGCCGTCCTCCTTTGGGCCTGATAAGGTTTCTTAACAAATTACATTTCACTCGACCCGACCTGCAAACCGCATGGATGCTTTCACACCTTATGTTTGCTTTAACAATGCTATTTGCCCCCGCAGCCCGTTCCGTGCGGTCCGCCACACTGCTTGTAGCAACTTGTGGAATCCCCTGGGCAGTCAGCTGCTGGGCTCCATTTGCCTTTATGGGAGTGGAAATAAACCGTCTAGCGATTCCATCTTTCACAAGAAAATCAAGCGTCACCATGATAACCTCCGCCACTTTTAACAGACACAACTCCGACCTAAACAACTACGATGTCGAGCTAGAAGACCGCGGTCCCTCTATCCTCCGTCTAAATCACAGCCACAGCCCAGATTTGGATAGTGACAGCGAATCGGCCGATGAAGAAGCGGTTTCTTCCACTGGTGAGTTGGCGGGTATCTATCTGGGTGTGCTTAATGTATACACCACGCTCCCTCAGTTCGTCGGCACGCTCATCTCGTGGATTGTATTCAGCATCTTCGAGCCTGGCACTTCGCCGATGTCGACGGATGGGGATATGAGTAACGGAGTTTCCGGAGAGCAGGATGACGGCAAATGGATAAATCGACACCGTGAAGGGCCTAATGCGATTGCGGTTTGTCTCCTTGTTGGCGCTATAAGCGCGCTAATTGCTGCGGAAGCTACGAGAAGGTTGAAGTATGCGAGATGATGTGGGGAAACATAAACTTCTTACAATCTAATGGTTGTCCAATATTTTGCTCTGGTATCACTGTTTTTGTAATTGCGGTTGTACATGATAGATTCTTTCTTTCAATCCAATGGTGGCCAGCTGGTTTGGCATCATTCAAAGCAGTTTTCCATTTCTATTGTGATCATTCCTTGACTCTGCAGGGTTCCAGATTATAGTCTGGCATATCTATACCATGTAGCATGGAATGAGGATTCTGCGATGTACCAGATACGAATGAACTGTAGACCATCCTACGAAAACAATAAGCTCTTAATATAATCAATCACACAGGACCATTCACCCAGGCCTCCTCTTCACAAAATTCTCCAAATCCTGCCTCGTCGCAACCCCCATCACAAACTTGCGACTCGCATCGGTCACCACGGCGAAATCTTGCTTCTCCCTCCTCTCCACACCAGAATCATCTCTTACCAGCTCTCCATCGAAGAACCTCTCTAGTTCCTCCAGCGGCGTCCCCATCGTGATAACCTTATACACATGCCCGCGCCTCCGGAAACGCAACATAGCCTTCTCTACTGGATCGGATTCTGTGACGGTTCCTTCTTTCAGCTGTGCTTTTAACCTTGGGATACTAAGGTATCCAATCAGCGAGCGCGATGAGGAGGATACTACGGTCAGGTGGGTGTAGTCGCGCTCGTAGGCGGCGAGGAGGGCGCTGGAGATTCGATCGTGCGGCGAGGTTGAGAGGGCGGCTGGTGGGTCGAGATCTTCGACTGTGGCCTGTTTAGGATGTTTGAAAAATAAATACTCCTTAGCATTCCACGGCAATGGGCGTGGATCTGGCTGTCTGGGCTGTTTTTGCTGCGTACTTACACCACGATATTTGTCGGACATGGAGGTTAAGGATATTGAAGGGGAGACGGAGGAGGGCGGGATTCCATTGGTGGGAGAATGTTCGCGCTCATACGCTTGACTGGCAGAGAAATAAGATGTCATTGTGATGGGCAAGGAGATTGAATTCTTCTACAGGTTTGCACTGGCACACGATATGTGGTATGGCGCTCCCTGCCCCTTGTTGCTCGTGGAATTGCTATGATGGCATCAAATTGATCTGGCGGGGCATGGGAAACGCAGTTAAGCGCTTTGCCGTAGCGAGTGGGATTGATGGAAGAGAGAATGAGAGCTCTTCAGTAAATTGGAAAAATCGCAATGTAACTCGAGGTATCCCCTCCGTCCTAGATTTAAATAGTATGTTGTACCACAGCTCTCAAGGCCCGGATGCGCCAGAAATTCGATGTGAATAAACTCGCGGCAATTAGTCTGAAATGTTAAGCGCAGCCGCGAGCTTACCTAAACTTGGACAAATGGAGTTTAGACCGGTGAGTCTGACAAACTCTATTGGGACTAGCGCCACTCCTCCGACCTGGAAATTGAACATGGCCTTCTTCGTCTTCCCCTGCTCGCTCTGCATCTTGATGCTCTGTTGAGACTGCACGAGAGCAATCCGTTAATTTCGGTTCTGAGATATATATAAATCTATTCGGTTGGAGGAAGCTACTCATTCTACTTGTTTGCTCAGTTCATTTGGAGCTAGCTACTCCACACATGTAAGTCTACGACGACGTCATCACAAGCCGGATTGCTCCGTACTAAGGCCCATCCACCAGAAAGCCATCAAAGTCAGTGTAAGCATACCTTGCGAGCCATCGGCTTTGGTTACTGTTTTCAATGGATTCATATTGATTCTTTGATTGATTAATTGATGAGTGTGATTTCTCAACCTAGTTTGCCACTTAACTCCCACGATGCCTTCCATATTTCCCAAGCAAGACACCCTTGCCAGCACCTTTGGCACAAAACATCCACTGTTTGGCTCCCATGGAGAGGCGCAGATGCCAACTGCCAATCCGATGGATAGGCCTTTGTTCCCAGCATGGAGTGCCATTGATGATGTCAAGCATAAGGCAGAGGCCGTGGGCAAATCGGCCACCAAAGAATTCGACAAGGCTAGCGCAAAGGTCCAGTCAAAAACGGGTCACATCGAAATGCACAGCGCGAAGTATTACGCTTCGTGTACCTTTGGAGGTTTACTGGCTTGCGTGAGTTTGTTTAGGATCATTCTTCTCTTTCAATGCTCCTTTTTTTATTCTTGTCTTTAATTACCTTCACACGTAGAGTAAGGAGTCATTCCAATGACTATGATTAGGGCGTTACACATACTTTTGTCACTCCTCTGGACTTGGTGAAATGCCGTCGCCAAGTTGATCCCAATATGTATAAGGGTAATTTCGAGGCTTGGGGGAAGATTGGCCGAGCAGAAGGCGTGCGCGGCATCTTCACTGGCTGGAGTCCCACTTTCTTCGGATATTCCGTAAGTAATGCGATTTCTCTCTTTCTCTATTATATCGACTATTACCAGAACTCCAAATTGTCTTTAAGGTCGTGAGACTAACGGCCCGGCCCCCGGGGTCGTTCAATTCATTAGGCTCAAGGCGCGTTCAAATACGGTGGATATGAATTCTTCAAGAAATTCTACAGTGACCTTCTAGGAGAGGAAAAAGCTGTCCGCTGGAGGACATCAGTATATTTGACTGCCAGCGCTTCTGCAGAATTCCTAGCAGATATTGCACTTTGTCCATTCGAAGCTGTAAAAGTGCGAATGCAGACGACAATCCCACCGTTTGCAACCGGAACCTTTTCCGCAATTTCTCACGTCACCGCAAAGGAAGGCGTTGGAGGGTATGCAGCATCCTTTTATTCTTTTAAACACATTTCAGTGAGGCAGAGATCATAGCTAATACGGGCTCGTCATTTGTAAAGACTGTTTAAGGGGCTATATCCACTTTGGGGGCGTCAAATTCCTTACACCATGATGAAATTCGCTTCCTTCGAAACGATCGTGGAAATGATTTATAACCGTCTTCCAGGACAGAAGTCCGACTACAACAAAGGTGCACAAACAACCGTCGCGTTTACTGGTGGCTACTTGGCTGGTATTCTCTGCGCTATTGTGTCGCACCCAGCAGACGTCATGGTCAGCAAACTGAACGCCAATCGCTTGCCCGGTGAAGCGTTCGGCGCAGCTATGGGCCGAATCTACAAGGATATTGGATTTGTGGGCCTTTGGAACGGCCTACCGGTTAGAATTGTCATGATTGGCACATTGGTATGCCCCATTGATTCACAACTAGAGTTAAGTTAAACATTCGACTAACTACTTTAATAGACCGGTCTCCAATGGATGATGTATGCGTTCTCTTCTATACTTTCAAGATTACTTCTTCTCTCATTGCCGAATAGTATCGAATGCTGACTATCTCCTTTCCACAGTTACGACTCCTTCAAGATTTTCATGGGGCTGCCAACAACTGGTGGGCCAGCTCAAGCGAAACAAACCAACTAGATATCTCAAGAATGTGGATAGAAAAAATCGACTGGGAAATTACCTTCTCTTGTGATATATTATCCATCGCTCTGTAGATGCTCATTGGTATTATTGGAAAGTACTTCATTATATGTCTCTTTGTGTTTCTCTGTTCGTGTTTCTCCACCAGTGAATATCACGTATTTCTCTCCTCTCCTTTTGATTTTTCTGCAATGTTAATATTTACATGCCACTGTACCACCAAAAACGAAGATTCTGCCGTTTCCTCCATTGACCCCTACCTAAGATACGTCCTGGTCGTGATGGATTAAAAGATTCCAGGTATAATTGTATTAGATAAAACCGTGGTACAGATAACCTTCGCTTATTATTTCTTCCAGTTTGGTGATCCATAAATAATAAATTCCCTGTAGCTGAATTAGAATCTTTCACCTCAAGTCACGGCACGTCTATAAGCTACTCAATGTATACCGTGTAGTGCTTCAAGCCAGTGATAATTTCGTGCCAATAACTTTCCTACCAGAATTCTCCAGCGTGGTTGGCTACTCAGCATCGTTTGGGGCGACATTGCTGACGATCAATAGCAGAGTAAACTCTGTATCTCGTGTGCTCATGGGCCATACTGCGGACAAACTCGGCAGACAGAATACACTTGTCCTGGGCGCTATTGGCAGCGCCGTCAGCGTGTTGACTTTGTGGCTCATCGCTGCTGCTGATAGTTCAAAAGCGCCGTAGATTTGCGTTTGTCATATTATATATATGGCATACTAGCAGGACAGAGGTTTCCCCTTCCTAGGTCCTTGTAGGCGATTGTGATAGAGCTATTGGGTGAAATATTACTTATAGGCGGTGAGTAACAGCTTTTTTCTAAAAGAAGCATGAATACGAAATTGCTTCAATTGATTCCTCTGCCATCCGACATGCATTTGGATTATGCTGACTACTCTTTAATTGACAATTCACTCAGGGTACAATGCGCTATTCCCTACAACTATTACAGAAGTATTTGGAGTCCAAGCACATAACTCTGTCAACGGATTCCTCTACTTCATCCGCTGTTTGGGTGCCTTATTCGGTTCTCCTGTCGGAGGCTTGAATTTGGGAAATTCCAGAGTTCCCTCCTCAGGCCAAGACAAGCCACATATTCTTGGTGACTCCTGCAAACTCGTCTGGTATGACGGCGCGCTCCTTTTAGGTTCCTCAATGAGTATGCTTGCAATGCACGGATTTAACACGCTGGCGAATTGTAGATGGATTGGAAGGCTCGGTAAGCCAGGTTATTATATGGGGCCCATTGATTCCAGCTACGTTTTTGACGATTGTTCTGTGACGACCTCTAAGGTATTTTCACTGACTGCCCTTTCACTTTTTGTTATGCGGCTGACTAGGTAGTTAGATCAGGAAAAGCATAGATAGATGTGGAATATCGCCGCCAACCACGAGCCAGCCGCAGATATGTGAGAAATTTTTTCTTGTCTCTCACGCTGGTTGAACTTTCTAGACAAGGAGAGAATGCCGGATAATATTGGGATAGATATCAATCGAGATTTGAAAAATATTCCTTCAAATGTCAACACCGCTTTTATTTTCGGGTTAAATTGGCCCCAATCAATAGAGTTTGCAAATTCTCAGGGTAAAAAGACAAAAGAACGACATCCGGGTACTTAATTTACGTCGATATTGCGATAATGAATTTAGCCGTTCCTCAACGATGAATTAGATGTGTCCAATTGCGCGACATTTTGTGATATATCGGGACCTGAATGATAGAGCCATTGAATAACCAGATAATGATGATTGGGACATATGATCGAGTATGCTTTACATTACCAGGTTCTTGAAGGAATTTTGCGAAGTGACGGAGAAAATTGTCGCTCAGACTCACCATTCAAAATTAAGTTAAGCTTAAAAATTAGCGATCCAGACTTCGCCAAACCCTAGAATGCGGATCGACCTATAAAGTCATCTCACCAACAGGGCTGGCTGTCCCCTGACTTGCTATGTATGGTAGTAGGTTTATCCAACCTTCGCGGCACGCTCTTGACAGACTGGCCAGGCGGATTGACAGTATCAGGAATCAGGTTGTGGGATGCTAAAAAAGGTTCACTAGGTAATGAATATTCCCCCGCTGGCCAATAAAGAGTTTTCTTTCCTCATGTTTATTCCCTTCCTCCTCATGCCAAATATATGCCAAATATAACCCCTTCCAATTTAATTTCTCAATCATAGCTTTGTTTCTGCCCGTAGCCCGAATTGATTATGTATTTTTAGACATATAAGCGTCGCAGGACAAGTAAGATCGGTTGCCATGATACCTAGGCTCCCGACCCGTTTCCGAAGTGGTCCATGTCACCGATGTCGTTCCTGAGATCTCAATCCGTCCATCCCAAGATGGGGATTGCTACCCTAAGGTTTGTTTTAACCTCATTACTATCTGCTACCCTCATAAATTGTATTTGAAAGAAGAGAGTCGAAATTGAGTGATTGCTGGAAACCAGCAATTTTTCAACTTGCTTCTCTGGTATTATGAGTTTCTGTCTTGGTTACTCGTGCACATAGCATGGCAGCAAAGGAAATATCTATTTCCAGGAATCAGGCAGAACGATGACGAAAATGAAGGGGAAAGGGAAAGGGGGAGGATGGTGTGTGTGTAGAGACACATTCAGTGACGAAACTCGTTAATATATCGAGGAATTAGATTTTGGTCAAGATGTGACGATGGAAAATCCGTCTTAGAAAGGGACAATAGTAAAATTATAAACGCGACGAATTACGAAAAGCAGTAGGCTGGAAAGGAAATAGGTGTAATCAGACTCCCAATTGACCACACTTCCAATTGGATTCTCGATGAGATGAGGAATTCAGATATGAGCCAGAATAGACGCAAATGACACACGTTCCGGGATAGGGAGGCAAAAAAAGAAAATATTAGTGTCTGATTTAAAAATATACGGAGTAGATTGATACGATAGGAATAGACTCACATTAATTGAGAAATAGGTGAGAAAGTAATGAACACGAACACGAACACTAATAAACCAAGGGCATCATATTGAGTGACTTTTAGTATCAGAGTATATATTTTGGGCAGTGAGGAAGTAATATTTGAGTGTAAAGAAGGTATTCCTAGTTGCGTGAAAATGTGTTGAATTCTGTTCTGGATGCGTTGGTTGATTACAAAAAAAAAGTAAAGAACAAATGGCGCTCCGCTCCGCCTCCCCCTCCCCCACCCCCACCCCTCTATATAGGGTGTTTTTTTGGGGACTTATGCCATCCAAATTACAAGCGTGTGTGCTCCAACCTAGCGGCCTGACTTGCTGGGATGAATCAAAATAAAACAATTCCCAGGAGAAAAACTGGGAGGGCGTTTTGGAGGGAACTGAAGAATCAAAATAATACTGAGAAAAATGGGAAAAGGATTTCAGATATGGATTTGCAGGGAGCTATCAAGGAGAGAGCGGGGTGGTATAATTTGGCGGGGGACAAGCAGATAGAAGATTTAATTTAAAAAACAGTGTAGGCCACGATGGCGGAAGGGGACAATACAATGGAGAGAAAAATACTAAGTCGGGTAATCTGGTAAGAGGGAGTATATGATAATTAACTTCAAAGGAAAACAAGACGATAAAGGAGACTTATCACAAAAGGGACGATCCAAACGTTCTTGGAGAGAGTTCAACACATTTTGAGTGGGAATCAAATTCGCACGTATACTGCTAGGAAAAGAAAATCGGGGGAAGGAAGAAAGATGTGTGTCTGGATAGGAGATTTCGATTTATGAAAGTTCTCAGAAATGTAGTCAAAAATAGCAGCAGTTTACCAGAGGCATAAATTGAAGAAGAGAAACAAAATAGCAAAAAAAAAGGGGTATAGAAAATGTAGGAAACAAAAACCAATAGATAAGATAAGATAAAATTAAAAACACAAGGAGAATCGAAAAGGTCAAAAACCGGACTTATGGAAATACGCAAGACGCATGAGAACCGTGGAAACATCGTCGAGAGCATATGGTCTACGATTCCATATTGCCTGTCAGCTCAGCAACACGGGCTTTAATGCGTGCGACTCGAGATTCGATTGCTAAAATGAGGGAAAAAAAAAAAGAAATCATTAGTGTAGTTCGATAGAAGAAATTCAATGGCGTATCACTTACTCTCCTCCCCACTTGTTTCACCATCATCCGTCTTCTCAGGTTCATGATGTCTTGACGGATGGTCGTCGACCTTGGTGGCACGTTCAGCAGCGTTTTTCCGGATTTGTGCCCAGCGGTCCTGCAGAGGCATGGGCTCGGCTGTGACAGAATTGTCAGGGCGCCCATAGCCATTCACAGGCGACGCGGCTTCTTTGGCAACTGGGCGTTGGGCGGGAACGTCACGTTCAGGGAACTCGTCCCTGATAGGAGAATCCTCTGGCACAAATGCGGGCTGATCAACGAAGGGAGCCTGGTGATCAAAGGAGGAAAATTCCCGATCCGCCTGGGCCTTCTCGTTGGTATCCACCCGAGAAAGCGCATCGAATTCATTATCTCTGCGAGTCCATGGTGGGCCATCGTAATCCGTAGCGACCGGGACGGGCTGAGCTCCTGGCCGCTCCCCACCTGCGGGTGGGGTGGTTGGCTTGGACGCTGTTGGTGAGGAAATTGACTCTGCGGTCTTCTTTCGTCCAAGGCCAGAAAGACGGCGGGCAGAAGGAGCCTTGGTCGGCGCGAAGGCCGAAGATTTATCTGCCTGTGCGGTTCGACTTTCAAGTGCAGCCCTAGCAGCGCCAACAGCAGACGTCTCTGCTCCAGTTGGTTTCATCGGTGGTTGCTCTGGCTTCTCAGTCTTCTTACCAAACATACCCTTCAGTGTCGTGTTTGCAGCCTTCTTCTTCAACTTCTTGGGTTCATCGGTGGAATCCATCGACTTCTTTCCCCGGCTTATTTCTAAGGATTTCGTTTCGAGGGAAGCCGGCGCAGTAGATTCAACTACAGGAGTAGCTACGGGGCGCAATTCAGATGTAGCACTCTTGGAAATATC